TATTTGTGGCCAATTAAAAATTTCATTTTTTGTTAACGGATAGATTAATATATTTTATTTTTAATGTACAATTATATTTAATTTAAACAAAAGAAAGCGTTGGTGTGTTTAATCTAAAATTAAATTCTTGGAAATTTTTTTGTATGTTCTGTACCAAATTTTTGTATTTACATATTAAATACAAACCATAAAATATTTTTTTATTTAAAACATATAATAATAAATTCTCGTTAAAACGAAAAAAAGAAATTAATTAATTAAAATTTCTTAGATTTAATATTATCTTCATTAATAAATGTATCTGCCATTTCTTTTAAAATTCTATTTGCTCTTCTTAATGATGTGCTTCCGCCAATAATTGGCTTGAAAAGTCGAGAACATTTAACAAAATTTTTATTTCGGAAGCAGTTGAAACTTTAAAAATTAATTTTTTAAAATACTAATTTTTAAGTTAGATAATAATTTTTGGAAAATAATATTAAATTAACTCCAAATAATTGTAAAATAATTAATTTAAAAAAATTAATTAAGCAATTTATTTACTTATTGATAATGAACAATATTTTATTAAATAAATTTTTGAAGTATTAAGAGATATAAACTAGAGTCGAAATTTGAAAAATGCCGGATCCATTTTCGGATTTTTAAAATTTTTCTTATCCGTACAGGAAATCCGGAAAATCCAGTTTTTATCAAAATATCCGGATTCAGGACCACTCGGAAAATCCAGATTTGGTCCGGATCCGAACTCTAATAAAAACTTATTCGAGTCCAAGAATATTTAGTTAATTATCATAAAAATACATCTGTCTGTATATTTTTACTCCTCCTTCCCTTCAAAATTACCTGCAATTTTCTTTAGAAGCAGAACGTAAATATAACATATCAGCGCAAAGTGCACACATTCGATCCAACAATTCTAAAATATTTATTTTTAAAATAATTTCTTATATTTATACCAAAAAGTTGAATATTTCCATTTAAATTAACACAACTTTCAATATCCACATTTTGTCGAATAAATAAATTATTATTAATTCTTTTATTTTGTTGCATTCCTTGGGTTATCCCGAAAGTATGCGAGGAATGCCAATAATGACTTAATGTAACAAATAAAAATATTAACGAATAAAAGTTGTTAAACATTTTTTAAATATTTTCTAAAAAATTTAAATAAAAGAAATTCTTAGAAATTTATTTAAATATCTCAAAAATAAATTTAAAACCTCCCACACACAAAAATATTTAAAGTGGATATTTAAACCAAATTTATATATTGTTTTCAATGACTTTATTGAATGTTTAAATATTATGTATACACACGTGATAGAGGACAAATTTTGAAAAATAAATTTAATAAAAAGAATGAAAAAAATATTTTTTGGGGGGAAATTGTTTTTTAATTGGAGTAATTAGATAATTAATTAGGGGAGTAGGTAATTAATTAAAGGATGGCTAGTCGAATGTTAAAATTTAAAATTATGACAAAGAATTTGAGAGAAGGGAAGAGGGGGGGTAATTATTCGATCAACTTTCCAGTAATCAAGGAAATACTTTAAATAAAATATCTTAAATATTTCTTCGAATTATTTAAAAATATTAATTAATTATGAACAATTAAACAATTTTAAGTTCACTCCGAATATTTATAAAATTTAAATAAAAATAATTTAAAAAGCTAATATTTTAAATAAAAAAAATCAAAACTTTAAAAATTAATTTAAACAAAAAAACATTTTTCTATATTAATTGCTTATAATTTTTAAAAAAATATTTATCTAAAAATTAAATTCTTTCTTTTTTTGTTAATCTTACAGTATTTTAAAATTATTCTGACGGGAAATAAAGATATGGGGCTGCAATTAATTTAGATATTATTTTGTAATGATGAGAACGCACTTAAAGACTTAATAAATATTTAAATAAGGGAAAATAACCAGACTAACTGCAAAAGAAAAAAGGGACAGTTATTATTATTTTATAAATAAATAAATACTAAAAATCCGCCGGAACGTTAAAAGGAAGCCTAGAACGGTTTTTTAAAAGTAAAATTATATGTGGGAAACATTTTTATATGAACGGATTTATTTTTTTTATTATTTTTATAAAAATATATGACAAATAAAGAAATACTTTAAATGTTCTTTAAATAATAAAAGTTATAAATTAAAAAAAGTTTTTTTTAAATATATTATTAAATAAATTAAATAGATGGCTCTAAAGGGTACACCTCAACTTAGCGCGAGCCCAACTTGCCGCAGAGCTTTAACTTCGTTCAGAATGGTCGATACGGGACGCCCTGGTATGGTTCGATTTAGCTCGTCGAGGCGCATCGAACCATACAAAGGCGTCCCGGATTCGACATTCTGAACGAAGTTATAGCTCCGCGGTAAGTTGGGCCTGCTCCCGGCTTAAAATTAGGCAAAAATGAAAAAAAGAATTTTGATGTAAATAATTTAAAAATTATTAATTTTATAGAAATTTGAATAACTCTATTGGCAAAAATCAAAATTTTCTATAACTAAAAAATTTTACATTTTTAATATTTTAAAAGCCTTTGATATTCTTTAATAGAAAAAACAAAACAATTTTGCCAGTAATTAATCTTATACATGAAAAACATTTGCTTTCTAAGCAAATCTAAAAATTTATTTGGGAAACACCTTTACACCTTTTCACACCTTTACTTAAATCCGGACAGTTTCCCTCTGTCCGTTGACTGAAATTATTAAATAATAAGAAGGAGAATGAGGTAGAGGGAGAGGGTGTGGCACAAAACAATTACGCAAATATTTTTAATTTAATTTAAAATACAAAGAAAATTATTATTCGGTCACCAAAGAGTATATATAAATAGTTATTACCCATAAAAAGCTAAAAATATTGTTGCTTTATTTAAAAATTTTTTTTGAGGAAAACAATTCTTTAATGGGAAATAATATTTTTATAAAATAATTTCAAAAAAAATTTTTTCAATTTAAAATAAATTACCTATTTAAAACAAAATGGGTTCATTAAAGTTTAGAATTATAGAGATAGACATTGGAAAGTAATTGAATTTTTGGATTTCCTAAAAATATTCTTCCCTCAAAATAATCCGAATCTGTGTTTAATATTTAAATATTTTAATTAATTGTTACTAATTTAATTTGATATTAATTAATTAATTTTAAAATTTAATTAACAATTTCTATGTCATAAGTAAAGTTTAAAAATGTTTTAAAAATAATTAATTTAACGTAGAATTAATTACGTAATTAGTTTGGGAATTTTCTTAGTTTATGTGAATAAATTTAGTTTTTTCCAAACTTTTAAAAATTAATATTTTATAGAAAGTTCTCATAAATTGTTTGAAAAAATTTTTTGAATTTCGTAAATGATTTAATGACATAAAAATTAAATTTAATTAATTTTTGAGAGATTAAAAGAATCGAAATAAAATATAAAAATAAATTTATTTATTTTTAGTAATTGAAATTTTAAAATTTTAAATTAAAGTCTATAATTAAAATATCAAACATTTTTTTCAAATTAATTAAAATAATTGTCGAGTATAGTTACATTTAGCTTTATTTGGTTATTATTATTTAAATATCCTTAACTTATATGGAAATAACTAAATTGGGAGGAAACGGAACTAAAACCTTTACCTTATAATTAGAAAAACTTTCAAATTTTATTTTATGAAAAAATTTTAAATAAAAATATTCTAAGACTACAATTCAAAAATATTTTTTAATATATTTATTTAAATAAGATAATAATTATTTTGAGATATTTAAACAAGCATGTCAAAGCTTTATACCGTATATCTTTTAATAACTAGCCTGGGTAACTAATGCTTAGACCTTCCGCTGGAGGGAGTAATTAATCGAGGGAGGGTAATTATACGAGGTTTGAAATTCGAACGTGTTTTAAAGCATTTGTTGGGGGGTAATTATTTGAGGGAGGGCAATTAATACAGGTTATACAGTAGTTGATTGTGTTCATACAGAAACAAAAAAAACTTTACAATTTACTAAACTTAAAATTAATTTCTTAAACTATTTAAATAAATATTTATTTATTTATTTACTCATTTTTTCAGGTGAAAATAAATGAATATATATTAATTAATATAAGTAAAATACTTAGAAGTAAAAATATTCAGCTGGATTTTTTTATTAAATTATTATATTTGAGTAATAAAAGAAATTAATATTTAAATATTTATAAACAAAAATATACAGTTAAATAATTTTTGAAAAGCGTTAAAAAGAAGAGAGTTTACTAACCTTTATTTAAATTTATATTTTAATTTACTTAGAGGGTGTGGGCGAATTTAAAGTAAATTATAAATAATTTAATAAAATCTAGCATTTAATTACTTAGAATAATTAATTATTTTAATTAATTATTCTATATAAAATTTGCTCAAGATTAAACCCGGCCCGGATTTTTCAAATATGACCCGTGCCGGGTCAGTTGACCTCTATGGTGTTGAATTTCTGATAGTACTATTTATTTGTATTGTTCTCTTTCTCATTTTTGCAACCCATTTTAATTTATTAATTAATTTTTCATTTCTAAGAATAAAAATCTCCAGGAATTGTCAATTTAAGTTGTGTTGCGTTTTAATTTTGAATGGGAGTTATTTAACTCACAAACAATAAACAATGTGCAAAAGTTAGACCCGGCCGGCCCGGATTTTTTAAACATGACCTGTGCCGGGTTTTCCAGACTAATACTCCGAAAACCTCGAAATCCGGTTTCTATCAAAATACTGGGCTCAGCCCGGTACGAACTCCAAAATAAATTTAAAGTGAAAAATACGATTTTTCAAATAAAAAAAAAGATTTCTCAATAAAAATATTAAAATAGAATTACAACACTTTCTTGATATTTTGTAATTAAAAACAATCAAAAGTATATTTATTTTAATAATAATCACAGTTTTTATTTTAAAAAAAGTTTTTATTTGAAATTAAAAAAAGTTTTTTATTTTCTTTTATTTTTCTTTTTCATTTATTTTCTTCATTTCCTCCAAATAAATCATCAATTATTTGAAATTGTTCAGAAAATGGTGTTTTATTTATTTGGCTCATTTCTTTCTTACACATGGAAAATTCTTCATGAACATGCTTAGAATAAAAAGAAATTAAAGGAAATTAATTTGTTTTTTTTGTTAATTTGTTTTTTAAAATTTTGTGAATTTGTTGTATAAAGGATTTTGACTATTAGGGAGGATATGTGAAGATTAAAGCGAATACCGACGATTTGCAGTGATTGGGGGCGATAAAGCTCCCTGATCCCGAACCTATGTAGACTCTGAATATTTTTTTAGAGTTATCTCAGACTCCTTCTCTCTCGCGTGATTTTTTTGCGAGACTGAATGTGCCAAATCCAGTCATTGTTAGATATAACACTTAGAGCTTTTTGTAAATTTAAAATCGCCCAGGGCCCAACTACCCAACCTTAAATTTTTGCTCTAAATAATTTTTAATAAAATCAAAATTACCTCAATAAATTTATTAAGTTTTTGAAGCATTGCAACATATTTAGTTCCACAATTAAATAACCCTCCCCCAATATATTGTCTTAAAAGATTGTTATTATTTAAATTTAATTTATCATTTTTTTGTTCATTCTTTTCTCCTTCTTGTTCTGATCTAATATTTATTTTATGATTTAAAAGTGGTGAATTAACAAGTCTTTGTTGTTGATTATTTAATTTTAATGCAAAACAAAATTGAATTAAAATGAGGTAGAAAATAATTAAAAATATTGGATTATTTAAAAATAAAATATTTTTTGTATTTAATTTTGATTGAGACATTTATCTATATATCTAAATAAATTAAAAATAATTTTTTAAATTTCCTTAAATTCATGGGATCAAAAGTTCGATTTTCAATTTACAAATTTTTTGGCACATAGGAAATATTTAATTTCAATTTTATGACAAGAATTTTAGCTGGAAGGGTATTGTTATAATAATAAATATATGTACTTAATACAGTCGAACTTAACTGACATATTAAAGAAGGTAGCATAACAGGGGAATGGTACTAACAAAGGAGAGGCTGTGGGGTGTCCGTGAGTAGTAGTACATATATGTATACTTTAATATACCCAACAGCCTCTCCTTTGTAAGGGGACTGATACTAAGGGGAAGGTAGCATTAACAGTGACTAATACTATGAAGAAGTCACAAAATGCCCTGTCTCAATAATCAACCCAAAAATTTTTTAATTAAAAATTTCAATCCTAAGGGTGAGGGGTAATTATACATGATTAAATGACATATATTTGGAAATAATTTGCGAGGTTTAACAAATTGAAATGTGAGCAACACAGATTTCCCGTTGATGTATGCTAGAGAGATTCAACTATATTAACTTTCTATTAATTAACCGAATGGGATAATTAAAAAAATAAATCTGTATTTCTAAAATAAAAATAAAAATAATTAAATAATGATAATAATAATGATATTCTTCTTTATTAAACACAATTTTATAATTTATTAGTTAGAGATTTATAAAATTTAATTTAATTATTAAAAACTACGGTTATTTAAATTAATATTTTTAAAATTTATTACAAAGTTAATTTAAAGATTTTAAATGAAAAAACTTTTTTAAAAATCAACAAAACTATGTAAATACCTAGTTAACATTAATTTTAATATTTTGTTAATTATTACATTCAAAAAAGAGGAGGAGACGAATTGTCAACGTAAAATAAAAAATAATTGTGTGTTATACAATATACAATTGGGAATATATTTTTATTTATTTATATTCTCAGATATGTGTTGGGTAAATTGGATTCGACTTTCATTTTAAAAGGTATCATTAGATAGATGATGAAATAAATTTAAATAAAAAAGAGAAGATAAAACTTTTTGTGTGTCTATATATTCTTTTTATGTTTAAAAAACGTCATTAAAATCTTGGAATTTTAATGTAACAATTTAAAAATTAAATTTAGAATATTTTAAATAATTATTTTAAAATTAAAATGTTTATTTTATTAGAATTGAACTATATTTGAAATTAAATACAGGGTGCGGCAAATTTAGCGCCGACTTTGTTTTGGCTATAACTTTTTTAATTTTAAACGAAAATTGATAATTCTTTTTTTCCTGGATTCCCAACACTTTAGGAAACTTGATGATATCAAATATTGAAAATTTGGTCCACTGAGAGGAAAGAAAAACGAGTCCGAACAGCCGAAAAATCTAAAAATATTTTTCATGCCAAAGTTTAGTTGATCATAACTTTGTTCAAAATAATCCAATCCGAGTTATTTTGGTACCAATCAACTCCTCTCGATAAGGAGCATCGAAATAACTAATAAAATCATTTTTGAAAATTTTACCTAAAAAGTTTATATTTGCAAAATTTATTTTAATTTTTCAATCAGAGAGTCATATCTCGGTCCATTTATGTGATAGACACATGATTTTGACGTCATTCGAATCAGATTGGAGAGCTGATTCGAATGATATGTAAAATTCTCACATCAAAACAATAGCCTTGAATCCAGGCCAAATTTTATCCAAAAATTTTTGCTCGAAATTTGCTAGAAAATTAATCAAACTTAATTATAAAATTTGGAAAAGATTTTTATATCATCAAGTTTCCTAAAGTGTTGGGAATCCAGGAAAAAACGAATTATCAATTTTCGTTTAAAATTAAAAAAGTTATAGCCAAAACAAAGTCGGCGCTAAATTTGCCGCACCCTGTAAATGTTAATTTAACAATAATTTAAAATTAAAAGATTATTAGGTATATTTAAAAAATTTTAAAAATTTTAGTTTCAAAAAACTTTTAAATTAAATAGCTAGATAAAACATTTTAAATACTTTGAGTTTATATAAGGGTTGTCATGGGTTGAGAAAAAATGTCGGGTTTCGGGTCGGTTTTAAAAATTTTCTTCGGACCAGGTTCGGATAACCCTTGATATTCCTGGGTCGAGACAAAAATAGACAAAATAAATTTATTAAAATATACATAGGTAGTATATCTTTAGTCTCGTTCGTTTTACTATATTCAAACAGTCACAAAAATTGTCTCAAATTCAACTTAACAAATTTAAAACTAATTGTTAGGCAAAACAATCTTCAATGGAAGTCTATGTAATAACTCGAAAAGGAATTATTCATCTATATGATGTAATCCAAATGGATTTCGGGAAGTGGGGTTATATTATTTTAATATTTGGAAATCTCGATTCAAATTTTTTCAAAAATTCGAAAATCGAAAATATCACCAAAAAGTCGAAATCGAAAATTAAAGGAAAAAACCTCAAAAATCGAAATTTCGAAACAGCTCTGGTTGACAGCAATGCTGGTTAAAAAAGAAAAAGAAGTGAACAGGATGCATATTTGTTAATTAAAAAGAAAATAGTAGTATTTATTTTGTATTGTTCTCTTTCACAAATTGCAACTCATCTTTTATTTATTGACAAATTTTTTATTTCTACGAATAAAAATTTCTAAAAATCATTCCATTAATTTGTCGCCTTTGAATTTTTGGATAGGAGTTAGATTAACTCCGAAATAAGATTTGGTTTTGTGGTTTTGGCTACGTCCGAACCATACCTGCACGAAACCCGAAAATTGTTTCGAACGAAACGAAACAACAATATTTAAAAAATGTTTTGTTAACAAAATAAATAATATCCACGATAAATATAGAGACTGTCTTATCGTTCGAGAGATGAAACAAATGAATGATAAAGTGATTTTAAAATGACAAAAGAGAGTGAGAAAATATTTTTAGGAATTTTAATTTGTTTTAATTGCTTAAATAAATTTTAAAAATTTTAAATAATTTAATTATTTAACACAAATTTAAAATTAATTTTCCAATTTAATTTATTTTGGCAACATTCCATACATTCTTTAAATCCTCTCCAATTTATATCCTTTCCTTTTACCACCTAAATATCTACATACTTGTTGCAGAATTATTAAAAATATTTGCGGGCATATTTGGATGTGTGTGATTCTTTAAATTCTTTGAACATTTTTCATTTCTTTTTTTTCCTCCACTTGTTTCCTTTGATGAAAGGCTAAACCTTTTTCGGCGCTGTTACGGATATAAAATGAGAAGAATTATATTAATCATATAAAGAATATAATAATAAATCTTTTCTCCTAGCAATTAATAATTTTTTTAAAAATTACGTTAAGATTTTTTTAATTTTTAAAAAATATATTTTTTGTTATTTTTTCTTAGTAAAATTTTTGTTTTTACTAAAAAATATATTCTTAAATTAATCTTTTCCCGCTAAATTGAATGACGCAGATTGTACAAACAAAAATATATTAATTTCCGTTCAGAACATCTGCAACCTCAAGATTTTTTTCCACTTTAAAAGTGCCAACTTCTCTTTAATTGTTTGAACAAAAAATAAAATTTATTTATTTATTTACAATTATTTTCAGCTGCCCATTTTGACAAAATTATTTTTTAAAAAAACTTTTATGTATTTTAAGCAAAAACTTTAACAAAAACTTGTAGAAAGGTAAAAAACAGTCCAATATAATTCCTATTACTGGTAATTTTTCTTAATGAATTTTGAATAAATAAAAAATATTAATTACCAATTTTTGTTTATCTTCAAGCAAGTTATTTCTAAAACCCCGTATAGGTACTATTAATTAATATATGCCACAATGAATTCAGAAATCCTCCAAAATTATCCTCTTATATTTAAAAAAACAAAATAGTAAAATGATGTCATATTTTCAATAAATTTTTTAAACGTTTGTCAACTTTGCTAGTTACTTTTTTTTACTTCTTTCCTCTCTACTTCATAATTCTTCGCCCTTTTTACTGTTAATTTAGTTAAAAAATTATTACCGCCAACATTTGCATTTTGCAAATGTTTTTTTAAATATTTTGACATCATTCTCTTGTCTTTGTTTTTCTTTCATTATTAAATTGGTTATTGATGCCAGATGTTTTAATGAACAAAATTATATTAAATGAAAAAAATTGGAGGAAAATGGGGACTTCCGATGATTACCTATAGCCTTTTTTCCCTTTCCCTTTTTCTGTTTTTTTTTTTCAATTTAAAACTAATTTATCAATTATTACCAGTCAATTAGCCCTAATTTAATATATAAATACTCAATGTAAGTAAAAGGGCACGGCACTCTAAACTTTATTTGCTTGTCGGCATTTATTTCATTAATATTTTAACAGAACCATATTTTATTTTTTAAAAACTTTTTTTTAAATTTTATTCTCAAATTGGAAAGAAAATTAATTTTAAAAATAAATAAAAAGTATTTAAATTTACAGTAAGCTCTATTAAAATAAATAGGTATGTATTTTTATAGAAAATTCCGTAATTTATTATCAAGTTATGATTTAACAAAAAATTTAAACCCCCACAAATAGAGTACAAAAAAATCACATTTTCTGTGTAATATCCGACCATATCCTTTACCCTTGTATATCTCAGAAATTTTAAATTAAAAAAAAACGCCGAAAAATGCCAAACGAGATACAAACTAAGCTTTCGAATGGTATATAGAAATTGCATATCCATAAAGTATTCGTCGAAAAACATGCTAAACCGACAGAACTTATGTAACACCCTAAATAACTCACTTTATCACTTTTTAAATTGAGACACACTATTAGCATTTAATAAAATATAAAGTTCTTAATATATCTAGATATAAAATTAAAGTTGTTAAAAATATATAATTTCTCCTTCAATGCATTCTACTACTAATAATTTTTCTATTAATAATGTTTCTTCTATATTTTATTTCCGAATTTTTATTGTCAGCATAATTGTTTTGTTTGGCACAGAATCTCGTACACTCTTCTCTGATAAAAACAACATTTTTCTTTTTGAAAGAAATCAACGAAACGATTTAACATTAAATAGTCAAGAACAATTAATTAAAAACGATATTACTTCGAGTTGTAATGTTTATGATAATGATCAATTACATGGTTAGAATATTTAAGAATTTAATATTGTTTTTAAATAAATATACCCAAAGATGGCTAGTAAGCACTTCTAATCCTGTGGACATTATTTTGGGATACTCTTGACTAGATAGGGGTGCATTCTTAACATGAATGTCTTAACATATAACCCTGTTTCCAACGAACAAAAATGAAAATCTCTGGAATTTTTAAGAAGATTTAGATAAAACAAAATATTATTTCTTTAATATATTTAACAATATTAATTTATTTTTTCAGTATTAATGGACAGAATTTGCGAACTTTGTCATGATATGTTTAGTCATCAACTGCCAAACACGAGAGCAGAATGCAGGTGGAAAAATTAAAAATTATTTAAAAAATAATTATTTTTATTATTTAAAGGTCTGATTGTTTTAGAAGTAATCATTTTAAAAAATGTCTTCGATTATTTAAACCAATTGGGGATAATAATAGTAGAAGAAATTCTGAAAGAAATAAAAGAGCAGCATTAAAATATTTTTTGGTAATGAAATAAATTTAAAGAAAGAAGAGAAAATTTGTGAAAAGCATTGTTTTGATCTCAAAATCTTCTAGTAATTAGAAAATAATGAAAGAAAAGGAGGAGAATATTTTTAATTGTTGTATTTTTTCATTTTTTTGCTTAGTATATGTATAATATATATTTATATATTCTCATGTGATGATATTTACAGGTGTAAAAGAAATAAATATTAATTAATAATGTAAGGCGTACTTTGATCCGGATGGGCAAGGATGGAGAAAAGGAACTTTAGTTCCTTTGGGAAAGGATTTAATAAGGGGAGGAGATTGACAGATAAGGCCTTAGGATAAAACTAAGTGGAAAATAGTGAAAAGGGGATCAGTCGACTATTCACCAGTCAGTTGGAAAGTAATCAATAGAAAAGTGAATAACCGGCCGAAGAAGCTGAGAGCTTATTCATTAATCCTGCAGAAGAAGCCTAGAGCTTATTAATCAGCGCATATTATTCCCGGGCAAGTCGGTCTCGTAACCGACCAGCATTATACAAGCGCATAGAAAGGCCTACCCTCCGCTCCGCAATATACTCATCGGCATCGCCTCTCGGGACCCTCAACATCGCACGCAACCCGCCCAACATCCCAACACCATCCTGGCCCAGCACAAGCTTTACTGGTAGCACCGTCCCACCTCCCCCCGCCACTGGCCATGGCGGTGGGGAGGGGATCCAGGTGAGGTGCGGAATGGAGGAAGAAAAGCTGCCATTGTGGCATGAGGCCCACGGGCCTACAAAAAAATAATAAATGTATATAAAAATATATACACAAAAAAAATTAATTACTTCAACAACAAAAATTCAAAAAAAAATTTTTTTTTTACTTCATTCTTTTAATTTCAACAACAACAAAAATTCTTCAAAATTCTTTTTTTTTTAAAAAAAAAATTTTTTTTCTTTTATTAAAAAGTCAACAATGGAAAAATTTCCTTTTATTATTATACTAATTCTTCTACAATCAAAAAAAAAAGAAATACTTTTCTTCAACAATTTTTTCAATAATCGGAAAAACAATTTTTTTTTCTTCCTCTTCAAAATTTCTTTAAAATTTTTTTCACTTTCTTTAAAAACACTTTCAACAAAAAAAAATATATATTTTTTTTTATATTCTTTTCCAATCTTTAAAGTATCAATTAGTCAGAAGACATTACCCTAGACACAAAAAAAAAACCAAAGAAAAATGAGTTTTAGCTGAGTCATTGTCCATTCCAATAAAAAGATTTAAAAAAAAGGTTGCGAACAACAATTTTTTTACACATAAAAGTGGGGAAAAGAGTAACGACTGAAAATTAAAAAAATAAATAAATAAAATCCTTTTTGTCTGTGTCATAAGATAGAAAGGAACGACTTTTATTCTTTTCCTTTTTTTTCAAATAAAACATTTTTTTATTTATTCCGTCTGTCTTCCAAAATACTTTCCACAAAATATATATATAGTTTTACACAAATATTTTAAATATACATATAAATTAAAGTTGCAAATACCGGTTTTATTTAGGGAGAATTTTTTTTTAAATAAAATCGCTTATTTTCAATGTTGTTTTCGGGCTTCAAAATTTTCTAAGAACGGTTAATTTTCAAAAAAAAATTTTTTTTCAAAAACGCCAGCTCTAATAAAAACGTATAGGATATAATATATAAACATTACAATATATATATTTTATTATTTTCTACAATATACTAAAATCATTGCTCAAAAAAGTTTTTATCAAACCATATTTCAAATGTTATAATCCTTTTTAAACAAACATAATATAATTTTTCGCTCACAAAATATTCGATTTTTATATATCTGTTAATTTTATTATTTAAATCAACGACTACTTTAACACTTATATTAAATATTCTAGTAAATACAAAATAGAAAAAAGAAACCCTACCTTTCTTATCACCATTTTGCGCCGCAGGCGAAAATTTTAAATTATCAATAAACGTGGGGGAATTTTTTAGCAGTTGGCTTCAGTTTTGGCTTTAAAATTACAAAATCAGAGGTCTCACAAAATTCAAAAAAAATCACGAAACACCAAAAATAATACGAAACATAAGAAACAAATAATCGAAACGTTTCGTGTATGTATGGTTGGTACCTCTGTAATGACTCAGTCAAAATCCAAATTTTTTTGGGGGTTTAAAAAATACGAATCTGGCATTTTCGTACTTTAGCCGCATTCAACTAAAAAAAAACGCCAGAACGCATTGCAAAAGAAAACAAAACGCTAAAAACTAAAGAAACGCAAAACTGTTCAGACTTAACAAAAATAATTCAAAAAGCAACGCGCATCTTTTCTATCAATTATTTAAAACTGCTTTTATCTATATTTAAATAAGGGTAATAAATTTGCTTATATATGGCTTTCTACTGCCCAATAAACGATTTTTTTTTACATTAAATTTTCTTTTACTCAATGATTGTGTTAAAATCTATTGCCCTACAACAATTTTTTTTTTTTAAATTTTATTTGTTGGAGTTTTCAACTATTGCCTTAAAATCCATTGCCCTATGCAAAAAAAAAAATTTTTTTTTGTTTATTCGTGTTATTTTTCCCCTAAATGATTCACTGTCCAACAATTTTGATTTTTTTTTTATTTTCGTAACTCTCGACAAAATTTTCGCGCTCATTATAGAATTCCTCTTTTACAATATTTCCTAAATCTTCTTTAAAGAATTTTGAATGTATGAACCAAAATTTTTTTACATCCAATCCAAAAGGGGTCAAAGGTTCAAAAAAAAATTAAAGCAAAGAGAAGGGGAAAGAAAAAGAGCGGAAGTAAGGATAAACAATCACAATCTCAAAAAAAAGTGAAAAGTTTGTTGGGAAAACAACAGTGTAAAGTAAAAAGAAATTAATGGGAAAAAGGATAAGCATTTAAACATTTATCTAAACATTATGTTTGAGAAAAATTCAGTGTAAAGTAAAGATAAATTAATGGGAAAATGGTTAAAGGAAAGGATAAGCATCTAAACATTTATGTAAACATCCGTGAGGGATGAATAAGCATTCACAGTTATTTAAACATTTAAATGAAGAAGCATTTCAACATTTGTTTAACATTCATGTAAGCTGTAAACAGGAGTCATTTTAAGATTTACAGATTCACTTTCAAGTTGTCTCTTTAGCTTGTAGCAAGGCTAACACTAAGAATTTTTTTATTAAATTTCTATTTAAATTAAAGTATCAATTACAGATAAGAAAATTTAAAAGCTATCAAAAAGCAACGACTAATTTGTCTTCATGGTTGGTAATGAAGACTCAAGCAACAAGGGCATCACGCCCGCGGGTACCAAGGTACCACAAAATTCCTCGTCTTCTTCCAGTTTGGAGGAAACGCCAATCAATGTAGTGGACAAGAAACTACTAATAGGTAAATCCAACACAGCTCAGCTGAAGATACAGGACCTGGAACAGGTATTTGGTGAAACAATACGTTTAGAGGAGGGTGTAAACCGCTCTCTTCGACTCATGAGTCGCAAGGTAAACCAAAATTCAACAGGGTTAACTAAATTAGCTGAGGAGGTTAATCAAGGGTTTTCCACTTTGGGTGACAAAATAAATAGTTGTGAGCAAAACATCAATGAATTATCTAAAAGAAAGGCTAGGTCTGCCTCCCCAACCAAAATTAGGGTTGGACAACAAACATTAATGCCTCTTATTATTCCAGAATTAAATATTTCGAATCTTAGTGAAAATAATGACAATAATTGGGCTGATGAATCACAGGTGGATGGACAAGTTAGACACCCACCCATGACAACTAATGAAGGATTGCACACTCTCAACATGCTTCACCACGAAGGTATCCCATCGCTTGAGGTATACTCTGATGATAATATTATATCATTTGATAAATGGGGAAAGAAATTTTTAGAAAGAATTAAGGTCTTTGGGGTAAAACTTTCAGAAGAAGAAAAACTTGCTCGCTTGTCTTTATTTTTGGAGGACACACCCAAAAGAATCTTTGAAGAATTGTCTCCAACTCAAAAATTAACGTGTGAAATGGCACTTCAAAGCATAAGAAAGGAGTTGGACTCTCCTCAACGACGTGCTCTCTCAAGGCAAGCGCTTTTAATGTGCCGCCAACATGAAGGTGAGTCAGTCAAAGATTTCCTATCACGCTTTAGACCTCTGGCAATGGCTACAGCTGCTGACATTTCTGGTCCAAACAAGGAACGGTATCTGTGTGAACTTTTATTAGAACGTTTGAGACCAAACATATCATTTTGTATGAAATTACTAAACTTTTCACAGACAGATAGAGGTTTTGAACAATTATGCTTAGATCTTCGCGAAGTCGAAATCATGTTACCTGGAGGCACTGGATCAATGTTTGACATGCCAAATCAAGAAGTGCATGCAATGCAACAATCAAATTCCTTTAATGTACCAGGGAAGTTCCAATCACTAAATCCCACCAATCCAAATAGACAAAAGCTCGGACAAAGGTGGGGACAAAGTCAAAATAGAAATGAATTTCAAAATAATCGAAATAATTTTGGAGAATTTAGGCAAAACAACCCTCGTCGAGACATGAACTACCGTGATTCAAGACAAATGCGAACACCAACTAATGATCGCCGATGGAACAACAGACCTATTTGTAATTATTGCTCGAAAGTTGGTCACTTTGCAAATGTATGTCGCACTAGAATTGCAGACTTTCAAACACAACGTGGTCAAAGCCGAAGGGAACCAGATGTTGGTCCATCAAATATGCCCAATGATAGTGGTATGCTAAAAGAAATATTATCAACCCTAAGGAACATGCAGGTGGGAAGTTCTAAAAATAATGGATCCCCACAAAATGTTAATCTCCTACATGGTAAAACAAAGCCAATAAACGAGGAACCCGAAGAAAAACAATTAAATGTTAAGAAGGAAAAACCTTTTATTGTCTCTTGGGAACCTTTTAAATTAAGTCCCAAACTACTCCCAATGGTAATTCTGGTATTAGCGCTAGCAACACCGCTGCAGGCAATTGAAAGATTATCAATTCCACAGTACCCAATGATATGCCAAACTGAGAAACAGTCCACTTTATGGTCTCTTCCTGACATGACAGACTGTCCAATACCCTCTCCAAATATTTCTCATGTACCAATTTCACAAACTAGAAATGTATATATGTTAAATGACTTAGAGTACACAACCCAAGGATGGGCTTGTAGAAAAATAAGAAAAACTCTTAGAAAATTTACAACCCTTTCTAATGTACCAATCAATGAACCTGTAGGCTCAGAAATTCTCCCAGTAGATGAACAAGAATGTAAGAGAATGATTAAGAATAAAGAATGTAGTTTAGGTAAATTAACTGAAGAAAATGATCTTTGGACCACTTCGAATAAAATAGACTCAAGTCCAAAAATGTGGTTTATAGGATCGTTTTGGTGGACCGAGGTCCAATCCGAAAATTGTTTATTATTTAGTGTACAAATTAATTCTCATTGGGGTGAAGAAGGTATAGGAACCTCATTTGGGGAAAGTAATAACTGCTCCTATTCGAAAGGTCTTTGCGTATTAAGTGATAATACTGTACTAAAATGGGAACCCACAAAGGATAGAATGTGTCGATATATCAAAATTGGGACTTGGGAAGGAAAATTTTTAGATAACACCTGGTTGTCGGATGACGCACAATTAGCACTTCATTTTGCTAAACCTGCTCCAAAATTTTGGGATTGCAGTAATATTCTAGAAATTTCCGAACAAGGACTAGCTACAGTCACTAGGCGTCGCTCTAAAAGAAGCGTCAGTAACCCAAAACTTAGCTTAGTAACATCACCCGAAATGGCAGCGAAGCTAACATATTTAGATCGAGAAATGGCTGACACTCTAACATTTACTTTCACGCATTCGCTTAAAACCTTTTGCCAAAATTTGGATCTAGTTAAGAAATGGGCACTTGCTGCATATTTGTCCAACCCAACGGGCTTAGCTAGAATGATATTTGAAAATGACTATGTCACGGCAAAACGAGAAGGGTCATCACTACTGCGTGTATGGCCATGTATACCAATTAAAAATGACGAGTACTCTTTCAAAGCTACTAATCTTAGCGAATGTTTCGACTTAATCCCAATTCAGTTCAAAGCAGAAAGTCGGGAACACTTAGCATTCCTTAATCCACTAACCATGACAATTGAGCCCACAGCTCGAAAAGCACCTTGTTCAATATATGGGAAAACAATTGTAGAAATAAATCATGAGGTACTAGAAGTAAACCAGACCTCAGGGGAATTTAGAAAAATTCAACCTCGTCCAATCAATTTAAGGGAACTCAAATCCTACAGTATACCTGAAATAAAATCACACTCATTCCATCAATTAATGCTAGTAAATCTCACGGATCTTAAAACGCACACTTTTATGAGCAATCTAGCTCGTGCAAGCGAAATCTCATATCGCATCGAACAAAAAGACATGCATATAGTAAAAACGCTCTCCGATCAATGGAAAGAGGCAGGAAATAGTCTCGTTACTGAAATTATTGGGGACTATACATGGATTTGGAAAGTTATAATATCAATTTTAATAGCCATACTAACTCTAGATTTACTGATAAGATGGGGAATTAAAGCAGCAGAAAATTATTTAGGTCAAGGACAATTAGGTAATATGCTATTTGGGCAAAGTCAAAATATAATTAAAAGAGCTAGAGCTACAAGCACTGATAGAAGCATAGAAGAGATTCCAATGGTAAAAGTAAACAAAAATCTGGTATTAAAAAGAGAAAAAACTCCAAGTGTAAGGTCACATAAACGGAAAATGTCTTGGATCCCAAAGGTTTCTAAATTTCCTTAATCGGTAGAAATTGAAGGTCACACAGTAAATGTCATGAGAGCAAATAAATTGAGTGATAAAAAGCTGTCGAAAGACATGGATGCCACGGCATCACAAAACTTCTCTATAAATACCCTACAGTCATGTCCCACAATTACTGGGGTGTTTATAAACAACAAAGCAGTAAAGTGTTTAATTGATACTGGAGCGAGCATATCGATTGCTCCCATCTCACTCGCAAGAACTTTAGGACTAAACCTAACACCAGCAACAATTAGTATAACGTCTGCCTCAGGGCATGAAATTAATGTACTAGCTCAAGCTGAAGTATTATTAGAAATGGCGGGAACTAAATTACCTGTAACTATAAGAGTGGTTGAAGACAATCAAATTACAGGAAATAGAACATACCAATTAATTATAGGATGTGACATTCTAAAAAGACTTCCGCCAATAACATTCGATTTTAATAAAGGAAAAATTAATTTTGAAAATAAATTTAATTATTCAGATAAAAATAAGTCAAAGTCAAAAAACATGCGTGTAGCAGCTATTGAAGCTAAAACAATTTTACCAGGAAAACACGGACTTGTTTCAGTGAAAATTAAAACTAATCGTGGAGAAAAGTTGGCACTTGTACACTCACTGGACCAAAGGCTTGAGAAGGACCATCTTGCACTCATTGAGGCAGTGGTCACACCAAATGCAAAAGAAAACAAAATTTTGATTGCCAACCCAACAACTGAACCAAAGCACATATGTAAAGGAATGCATATTGCTCTGGCTGATGAGGTTTGGTCAATTAATGAACAACCATGGTTAACACAGGTAGAAAACATTAATGTCAATGAATATGTAAACACTGTAGAAGCAAATCCGACATTCAAGGTAGACTTTTCTAAAAGCTCAGTACAGGGGGAAGATAGACAAAAATTAGAAAAATTATGTGAAGAATTTTCTGATGTATTTAGTAAAACACAATATGATCTAGGGTCGTGTATAGCAGGGGAATACGACATTATTACCACAACTGAAGAACCTATAACATCTAGGCCACATAGAGTTCCATTTAAATACCGAGAAGAACTTCAGAAACACATTGAAGCACTTTTAAAATCTGGAGTAATGGTTAAATCAGACACTCCATGGGTATCGAACATAGTTCTAGTACAAAAGAAAGACGGAGGTTTAAGACCTTGCGTTGATTTTAGGAAGCTTAACGAAGTAACAGTCCCAGACCACTTTCCTCTTCCGCGATTAGAATCAATAATGGAAAGGATAGGAAACTGCAACTATTATTCCTCACTAGATTTGTCAAGCGGTTACCTACAGATTAGATTAACAGAAAGAGCTTCTAGAAAATGTGGAGTAATAATGGAAGATAAGATATACCAAATGACACACATGCCTTTTGGGCTAAGGAACGCAACAAGCGCATTTGCGAGAGTAATGGCGCATGTAATAAGCGGATTAGATGAGTGTGTTCTAGCATATGTAGATGATTTCCTAGTGTTTACAAAATCTCCAGACTTTGATGAACATTTAAATGCATTAAGGCAGGTCTTTACCAGATTAAGAAAGTATTTTCTAAAAATAAGTCCCAAGAAATGCATATTTGCCTCAAGGGAGATGAATTTCTTAGGATACACAATAAATGCCAAAGGGTACACTCCCAGTATCGCTAAAGTTGAAACAATAAATAATTTACCTGCACCCACCACTGTCAAAGAAGTTAGGCAAGCTATAGGCATGGCATCATTTTTCAGAAAGCATATTCAAAACTTTTCGCTAATAGTTGAACCTCTCACAAAGCTTACTAGGAAGGAAATCGAATTCCATTGGGGTGACGAACAACAGCAAGCATTTGATAAAATCAAGAAAATCCTAACTAGTCAACCAGTTCTTGTATTTCCGGATTACGAAAAACCTTTCCACATATTCACCGATGCGTCCCTTACTGGACAGGGAGGCGCTCTAATGCAAAAAGATATTGAAAATAATACATATAAAGCAATCGCGTACTGTAGCAGGACTCTAACAATTTCAGAACGCAAATGGGCACCCGTCCAAATCGAACTGGGCGCCATAATATTCTCTTTAAGACAATTCAGACCTTTTATTTATATGGCTGAAATAGAACTGCACACAGATCATAAACCTCTTGCTTACCTACTAAAGAAAGCAGATGCAAGTCCAAATTTAGCACGCTGGCTTATAGAATTGCAAAATTACAATATTAAAATTGTACACATAGCTGGTAAAGAAAATCTACTCGCTGATGCACTTTCGCGATTGCAAAACCAGCCTGAAGAAGAGCAAACTGAACTAGAAGACATTGCAGAATTCCCAGTTTGTTTCACGCTTCCTATAAAAGATGGGCTTATTAATGAACAATATGCTTCAGTTTTAACACTTAGGAAAGAAAATGAAAATTATGCGATAGACATTAAGCAATAATAAGAAAATGACATGGAAGCTGCAGACTATATTAAATTTATAAAAACCGGGGAACTCCCAGAAGACATATCACCCAATAATCAGGAGAAATTCGTATTAAATGCTGAAAACCTGAGAATAATAGGGGATATACTATGTCACAAACTTCCGAATTTAAAACCAAGAATATTTGTACCATCTTCACTCAGGGCTTTAATCTTTGACTCATTTCACTCCTCACAACTAGGGGGTGGACACATGAATTTGAAAAAGACACTCAAGAAGTGTAGAAAATATTACTGGCCAAGAATGCACGCTGATATTTTAACCTGGACACGAAATTGTATAACTTGTCAACTTAGACACTCACCCAATCCACCATATAGGGCAGAAATGCAAATGGTACCAGTGAACACACTATTTGCTAAAGTCGGATTAGATCTAGCAGGACCATTCCCATTAACACAAAATGGCAATAAGCATGTAATGAATATAATTTGCTGGTTCACTAAATACGTTATTTCGGTACCAGTCCCTGACACTAAAGCAATGACTCTAGCAAGAGCATTTCTCAATAATTGCTATTTAAAATATGGTGGCTGCGTAGAACTAGTAACTGACAATGCCACAGCTTTTACAAGCGAATTCTTTAAGGACTTCTGTTCAATGTTATACATTAATAAAAGCTATGCCACACCACACTGGTCTCAAGGAAACTCAGTGACTGAAAGATCCTTTAGAACATTCCATAATATTCTCTCCAAGTACATAAGTAAGGATCAACCAGATTTTGACGAATTTTTAGACTGCGCATGCTTCTGTTATAACACTTCGATACACGCGTCGACAGGTGAAACGCCATTCTTTCTCATGTTTGGTCGTGATCCTATCTTTTGCGTAGACCAGATACTAGACCCGTCAGTGTACAGTCCTGTTGCGTTTACAGACATTTCCGAATTTAAGCAAAGACTAGTCACTTCACTTAGATGCGCCTGGGAGGCTGCCGATGAAGCAAATAAGCAAGCACAGTTAAGAGCAAAGACTCAATATGACAAATTAGTAAGAAACCCCACAGTCACAGTAGGAGATAGAGTATTACTCAGAAACTATGCAGGAAAAATAGGTACTTCCAAGAAATTTCATATGCCTTGGAAAGGTGTATTTAGAGTAGTAAAAATTGATGGAGTACATGTCACAATAGTAAGTTGTAACTCACCTCAGGGTACACCCAGAAAAGTACATATAAATCAACTAAAAAAGTGTTTTGAAGCACTAACACCCGCTTGTACGGTACCTGAATTATCGAGTGAAGAAGAAAAGGCTCTGGAAAGAGCTGAAGAAAACGAAGGTATTGAAAATGAAAATATTTCCCAAGAAATAGAAACTCCCGATATACAGGAAAATCAAAACTCGAACACTGAATTAGTACAAAAGAACACTCAAAAGAAATATAATTTACGAGAAAATCCCAAAAAGAAAAAATTTTCCTTTTAAAAAAATAAAATTAATAGGGGTCATACATTCAAATTCTTATTTTATTCATCTAATTTCACTTAATCAATCTTTTAATTTTCATTTTTTTAAAATCATTTAATACTTTTTCAATTAATCAAATTTTTATTCGCTTATTTTATTTCATATTTAATTTTTATACAACCGCGTATTTAACTCACACTTAATTTTTTCTCCCATTAAAAAAAAAAATTTTTTTTTTAAATTAAAAACTAAATTTCAGTTATCAATGGACAACAATCAAAATGTTCGAAAACGTGGCCGCGGTCATTTCTATTTCAAAACTGAGAAAAATGAAACAACAACAACAAATAAAGCTGGTCCTTTGACCATGGAATCCACGGATTCAAAAAGCTTAAATAAAAATGCTGGTCTGTTGACCATGGAATCCACGGATTCAAAAACTCTAAATAAAACTGCTGGTCTTATGACCATGGAACCTACGGGTTCACAAAAACCAAAATCAACCACACATACAAGTGTGGAAGAAGAAGAAGCCTTCCAAAAGATCATGGAAGATGCTGAAAAAGAAGAAAGACAAGAAATTTCTGAAAGTATGGAAAAGCTTATTCTTGAAGAAGATATGGAAATAAACGAGGAAAATGAAGATGAACAAATGGAGGAAGGCGAAATAAACGAAT